CACGCACACACGTGGCTGCATCGTTACATGTGCTCGCGCAATGTGTGCTCCTCTTCACGCACACCTCATGATTTCACGTGAAACAGGAGGTGGCGGTGCGCAGAATTTCATCACAGGCGCTGGCGGCTTCATGCAATGCGTGTGGGCAGGTCAGTACGCGCAAATAGCAAGCAGGGACATGCACACACATCACACACATCACATGCATGCGGCTGTACACAACCATATCACATGGTGATGACAATCCACGTTTGTTTGCTGATTGCTCCTCTCATTCAAGGATATGGCGGTCTTCGCATCACGGACAACGGCCTGCTGGTGAGTCCGACGTCACCACATTGCATCGGAGGCGGGAGAGCAGGCGTCCGACACTGTGGACACGACAACCCTGTTCTCTTGCATTCGCGAAATCACTCGACACACACACACACACACATACATACATACACACACACATAGACATACACACATAGACATACACAAACACTCACTCACGCACATATACATACACATACTCACACACACACATACACACACACATTTACACTCGCACACACGTGCCGTGCTTGTGCTTGCAGATCAACAACCCTCGTCCACCACCAAATTCGACGTCCATTGACATTGACGGATTCTCGTATCTCGGACACGTGCTCTCCCTCTCTGTGCACTCTGCATCCGCTTGGACACTCCTCGACACCACGCCCAAGCGTACGTCACTCATGGCCACGCACTCATGTGTGTGTATGTGCGTATGTGTATGTGATGTGGATGCTGGTGTGTGTTGTGATCCTCCCCCCCCCAAACAAATTTGTCGACATTGTGCCTTCATCTCTCAAATCATGAGCTGCTTGCTTGGTGTTTGGGTTTCCGGAATACCTTCACAGGTGCGGAGGTTGCGCCCCTGCGGATTCGTTTCGCCAACCAGTCGAGCATGCCGCTTCAGATTGGGACGCCAGTGCACGCTTCAGGCACCGCCTACATCCAAGAAGCACAACCGTAGCAGCCATCTGCGCTGCTTCCTGCTGTTGACGTCAACGTGTGCCCATGCTTCACGCCCACATGGTATGGCAACCGTTTTGTGCACGCCGTTGTTCTTGTTCATCTTGCTGGTGCCCATCTTGCTGGTGCTCATTTCTTTTATCGCGTACCTTCCCTTCTTGTTACGCCTTGCTTGCCATGTTCGCTGCCTGCATGTAAACGCTGCGCTGGATACGAAGCTTCATGCATTGAAACACGCGCTTTGTGACAACAGAACAAAAAGAAACACAAGCGCCTAACGTTTTGTACACGGCACGAATGGCACGAAACATGCCAGGAAGTAAGCTACATTCATGTCAGCTCTCAAAAGCAAAGAAGGGGGTGGGGAACAGGTTGGGCAGGGGAAAGGGAGGTGCCTTGTTGGCATGTCAACACATCACAACACATCACAATACATCACACGACAGCAGCGCGATGGCATCTTGTCGCATGGCATCGAATGGATCTAAACGACAAAAGCATCGTCTTCGCTGTCATCTGAATCGCTGATCAGAAACGTGTTGTCCTCCGCCGTCAAGCGGCTGAAGCGGACCTGTGCACCGCAACAAGTGGCAGTGGTGGCAGTGGTGGGTTGGTTGGGTTGGGGGTTGCGTTGTGAGCTTGTTTGTTGAAATGCTTGACATGGGTTGTGTTAACGACAGGCGTATAGGTGCATGCACGCGCACGCACTGACATGCACGCGCACGCACTGACATGCACAAACATGAATGGATACACATACACTCATGCACCCACACCCACACACACACCCACACCCACACCCACCCACACCCACACCCACACCCACACCCAAACACACCTTTGTTGCTGGAGCTGCGTTCTTCACGGCAGAGTACGAGTGCCAGCGTCGCTTCAGCCGTCGCGCAGCAACAAACAGCAGCAGCCCAAACACAAGGGCCTGTCATGTTGGAGAGGAGGGGGCAGCGCAGGCAAGCATTGAGGTTTGTTCAGCACGAGTCCCATCAAGGACAGAGCATCGCACACACAAGACACGTGAAACTATTCACAGATGCGACACACGCAAGCACACACACACACACACACACACACACACACACACACACACACACACACACGCACCCCCCCCCCCACACACACACGCACACACACACACACACACACAGACACACACACCACCGCCTTGCATGTTGAACGTACAAAGGTGACGGCAATGCCAACTTTGACGTTGTTTGACAGGTTGTAACCGGTGTCCTCTGCAGCGGCGGCGTCGGACCACTCCGCCGCTTGAATGTCATCGTAGTTGTGCACACGCACGTAGTGGTGCTTGAACGCGTCGTAATCGGACGCGCGATCGAGTTGAAAGTCCAGAATCACGGCAGAGAACGCAGCAAAGGAGCTGATTGCGACACCACGGACACAGCAGGCGAAGGGAGGGGGATTGGGATTGGCGTGTGTGTTAGTGGCAAGTAGTTTGCGAATGTGTGAACGAACACATACCCAAAGGCAGACAAGCAAACAAGCAGACAAGCATACAAGCAGACAAGGAGACAAGCATACACACAGACAAGCATACACACAGACAAGCAGACATACGAAACAGTGACGGCTCAAACGCATGTCAGCTCTCTAGCAACCCTGACAGAAACACACGTGACGTTGAGCAGGCGACTCACTTGACAGTCACGGCTTTGGTCTGGTGTTGATATCCGGGGGCAGAGGCGGTGATGCTGTACGTGCCCGGGGACAGCAGTCGCCAGTACGCACCATGGTACGAGGACACAACTGCAGGGCGCATTGGTTGGTGTGATGTGCAAGTGGCACGATTGTACGGGTGTTGTGTGCGTTTGTATGCATTCGTGTGTAAGGACTTGATTGAGAGCAACGGGGACCCACATGCATGGCATACGATCAAAGACACAGACACATACACACATGTATACACACATGTATACACACACACACACACACATGTACACACACACATGTACACACACACACACACACATGCACACACACACACACACACAGACACACATGCATATGCACACACATGCACAAAACACTCATGCAGCACGTCACCGGCTCCCGTGCCCCATCCACGCCCGCCACGCACCTGTCTTTGAGTTTCCCCTGACGGTGATCAGTACATTTGGCAGCGGGTCGCTCGATTTCGCGTCACGCACGAAACCTTTCACGCCCGTGTGCACCTGGGGATGGACACGGAAGGCAGCAGCAAGACGGCGGTGGTGGCAACGGTGTAAAAGCGAGGAATACACAAGGCATAGATCTGGTGTCAGACTGAAGCGACATGAAAGCATTCATAGTCGTACGTGCGATCAACACACACTCACTCACACACACACTCTCACCCCCCCCCACACACACACACACACATGCACACTCTCACCCCCCCACACACATTCACCACACAAAGCCAAATTACAAGCCACCTCAGTCCACCACGCACGTGTTCAGCGTATGCGAAGAGGGCCATCTTGTTGTCGAGCCAGAACGGCTTGAGGTCGTTTGCCTGCGGGAATTTACAGCACGACAGCTCCATCGTCACCTCCATGTTGTTCGAGTGCAGATACGTCCAGTCCTGCAGCCGTTGCAAGGACACGAGTTGGTTACATCGGTGGTGTGTTGGATGAATGAGGTGAGCACAGTGTGTGCTGTGTTTAGTTGTGTGTTGTGTGCGTGTATGTCCCAGACAGTGAACAACTCATGCATACGCAAGCACACACGCCAGGTGTGCTATGGTGACAGCATGTGCATGTGCGCCATCATGTGTGCACAGCAGCCCCCCGCACCTGCAATCCGCCGTACAGCGGGTACCAATCAGCGCCGTTGGTGATACCGTCCTTGAAATAGTCCGTAGGCCGGCACTGCAGACAACAGGGAAAGGAGTACGCGAGTCAGTCAGGACAAAGCTAGCGACACAGCTGTAAAGTTGCACACAGACACGGACACACACACTGGCAGACAGACAGATAGACAGACAGACAGACAGACAGACAGACGGGCAGACAGACAGATAGATATATAGACAGACAGACAGAACGCACATATACGCACACACGGAGACACACAGAGACATGTGCGCAAACACATCCAATTTCTGCTACTCACTGGCGTGGTGCTCATCTTGCGGTGGTTGGTGGAGTAGACCTTGGCCAACCGCTTGAACGTCGCGTCATCCGGGGACCGCGACACCCCGTAATGGCTGATGGCATCAACGTGGCAGTGGTGGTGGCGATGTGAGGTGAGACAGGGAGAGGGAGTCAATGGACCAGCAATAACTTGTGGTGGTGTCACTCACTCACACACACACACACTCACACACACACACACATACACACACACACACACTCACCCACACCCACACCCACACCCACACACACACACACACACACACCCACACACACACACACACACACACACACACACACACACACACACACACACACACACACAAGCAAGTGACTTTGCCGCACTTCTTTGGCGTTCCGTCAAAGGGGTAGCTGGCGACGAGGGAGCCGCCGTGCAGGCTGGCGGAGAGGGCGAAGGGCCGGTGCTGCACAAACGACATCATCACCTGCAGCAAAACAAGCACATCATAGTGAGCAATTGTTTTGCCGGGGGGGGGGTCGCATGCGTGTGCACACGTTGGGATGAGAGGATGTGTGGCATGGTCGCAGAACATAACTACGGCGGTTGCTTGTCTCTGAAAATTACACACACGCACGCACACACACACGCACACACATGCACACACACACACACACGCACACAACACACACACACATCACAACAGGTGATGCACCTTTGTTTCCTGTTGCAGGGGCGTGATCTGGCCTTTGTACTGGTCCGGAAAGTTTCGGTTCAGATCAAAGTCGTTGGCGTTGTTGCGCCCCTCAACACCGCCGTCAAAGCTGAAGTTAGAGGGGCGGGCAGCACGTTGGTGAACCAGCAGGACAAGTGAGCAAATGAGCCATTGATTGATTGAGTGAGCGAATGAGAGTGCGAGCGAGTGTGAGAAACACAACCATTGGAAAGCTAATGGGCTGAACTAGCAGGGCAGTATGTGCCAGGGATGTGTTCGCCACTCACGATTGCGTGCAGTGGCTGCGGGAGGGATTTGCAGCGGCGCGGGCATATCCATCTGCACACAAGCGCAAGGGAATAGAATATGCGGGAAACATACGCACAGGAGTAGGTGAAGAGGTAGTTGAAATAATCAGACAAAGAGCAGAGCACAGACGAACAGACACACACACACACACACACACACACACACACACCAGCGCGCATGTTACCTGGGTTGATGGACGGGACAACGTAGAGGTGGGTGTTGTCGACGAGGCGAGCAATGCGATTGCTGCTCTCATATCCGCACAGCAGCAACCGCACGAAATGCAGCAGTGACTCCCGCCCAACCACCTGCGACGTGGGTGTGCGTGAGTTCGGTGGGCGGAGTGTGTAAATGTGTGCGTGATTGATTGATTGATTGATTGAGTGATTTGGTAATTCAAAGTACATGTATGTGTGTGAGAGTGTATGCATGCACACGTGCCATCGCCACAAGCCTCACGGTTGACACGGCATCACAAGCCACAGACAATGTCACGGTACCTCGTTCCCGTGAATGTTGCCCACGTAGTACATAAACGGCTCGCCTGCTTCAATCTCGGAGGGATTGTCCGTGATCTGCATGGACACGCCAGTGAGAATGGCGCACATGTTAAGGCAGCCGTCAATGCGTGAGTGAGTGAGTGAGTGGGAATGCGAGTGCAAGTGGTAAAGCCTGTTGAAACATAGAATGGCAAATAGCAGGCGTTGACCGAGTTACGAGGCATCATGGTGGAACCATGATTGCGGGTGTGCATGTGATCACCAACCTGCAGCGCCCACACGTCACGTCGCTCCTCCGATTTGCCTGAAGTGGAAAACAGAGCCGTGACCACATCAAAAACCACGCAAGGTGGAGGAGGGAGAAGCACAAGCGTCAAAGAAAGAAGCAAGCAGGTGGGCAGCACAGGCACACGGCTCAGAGAAATGCAGTTGGACAAGCGACGCACATACACACAGACACACGCACACACACAGACACACGCACACACACACACGCTCTGTCCGTGATACTGACCGATGGTTGAGGCTGCAGCGAGGTGCGGGAAATGGGAGACAGCAGATGCAAAGAACTCGCGGACTTGCTGCTCGTCGTGGTGGCTGCGGAAGAGAAGAATAGCGATGAGCAAATTTGGGTGTGTGATGGGCAATGGACCAACCAACCAACCAACCAAATACAGAGAAACAAAACAACACACACACACACAGACAAACAAAATACACACACAAAGAAAGAAAGCTACCCCTTCCCCTCTTCTCTTCTCTCCCCTTCTCTTCTCTTCTCTTCTCTCCCCTTCTCTTCTCTTCTCTTCTCTTCCGCAACGCACTCAAAGTCGAGGGTGAGGGGGCAGTTGAGGTCGTCCAAGCTGGGTAGCTCCTCGTTGCTGATGCTGTCCACCGTCGTTGTCGTTGCGTCTGCGCCCGGTGTCACGTGCTGCTTCCGCGTTGTTGTTGTGGAGTGCGGCGGTGGCGCCGTCACCGGCACTGTTGTCGTCGTCGTCGTGGAGACGGGGTGCACGGACGTGTCGAAGCTCTGCGGCGGCGGGCGAGTCGATTCCTTTTCTGTTGTCGGTGTCGTCGTTGTCCTTGTTGTTGTCGTCGTTGTTGTTGTTGCGCCGCCTCCTCCTGCTGTTGCCGCTGTGCTCGTGTGTGTGTGCGACGACACTGGTGTTGTTTCACCGTCGGCAAGACGGCGATACGAGAGCGCAAACAGCGACGTCGACACACCGCCCTCGCTCCCAAGGTCCGACAGCACGGCGCAGTGCATCTGTCCAGACTGCATGTACGCAACAAACCCGCGGCAGAGCGATTGCGCAATGCACTCCTCTGCGCACGCGTCCACGTCGTCCACAACGGCGATGTCGCCAATACGCGCCGGTGACTCAAATGCGGACGTGAAGCGGAGCGCGGGTCCACTGTTGAACGGCGCGCGCCCTTCAAACACGAGCGAAAACCCGGACGGTGTCTGGGGCCGCGTTGCCGGCACCACCAGCTCCGAGGTGGATGCGTCTGTTGTGGTGGTGGAGGGGGGAGCGCTGCTGCCTGTTGGAGTGGATGACGACGACGACGATGACGACGACGACGACGACGACGACGATGATGGTGATGATGAGGAGGTGGACACGGGTACTGGGTTGACGGCCGGGGAAAGCTCAAAGGTGTAGCTGGCGCTTGAGGAAGCCGTGATGTCGAGCAGTTGCGACTGTGGCTCATATCCACTGGCAGACACACGCACGGTGTAGGCGCCGGGGGCGAGCAGGCGCACGAAGCGCCCGTCAGCAGCTGTTGTCGCCGTTGGACGCGTGTTGCTGCCATCGGCCGGCATCAGCGTCACCGTCGCATCTGCGATGGGAACCGTGGGTCCACCGACAATGACAGACTTGACAACAACGCGGCCCATGAGCGCTGTGCGGGCAGCGAGGGCGAGATCGCGCGTGGGATTGAAGCCCGCGTCCGCAATGTCCTCCATCTCACCTGCGGTCGGGTACAGACAGCACCCGAGGTACACGTCAAAGTGGAGCGTGCCGAGTCGCGTGTACACGGCGTCGCCAAAGAAGTTGATGGAGGGGTCGACCTCGTGTGTGGACGAGTACAGCTCGTAACCGTTCATGCTCCCGCCGCTGATCACGGGGCGCTCGTCGTCCTGTGCGGGTGTGCGAGTGTCAGTGAATCATGTGTGTATGTGTGAGAGTGCGGTTGTAGTGAGAGAGTGAGTGTGTGAGTGTGCGCTCGAAGTGAGAGAGTCTGTGAGCGTGTGTGTCAAGGGGGCTGGCAGTGGAGGAGCAAGATCTATGGAAAAGCACAACACGTTGCTTGCAGCCAGAATCCACCCACACCGCTACCATCACACTGCACCGCCATCACCACCACCACACGCCCGACGTGCACGCAATGTGCAAACGAACCTCAGTAAACCTGTCCTTTGGATCTGTTTGGGCGCACGTGAACCCACGTGCCATGGGCACGAGCGTCGGAGAAAAGGACGCAAACTCCGCCGCAAACTTGTCCGCAATATTGCGCAAGAGCGCCTCCTCCGGCGCCGGGTTCCGGTCGCCGTTGTCACGCGGAGGGCCCGTGAAGGGCCACGTCACGCCGTACTGCCCCGCGCCAAAGTACGCCGTGAGCGCAAAACGCTCTTGCTCCACCCACCGCAGCAGCGCCAGCGTCTCGGGCTGCATGCCATCAACGCCACCATTATCACCAGCATCGTCGTCACCATCGCCAGCACCGTGGCTGGCCTTGTTCGCCCACGCTGCAGAGATGTCGTAGAGGAGATCAACACCGTTCGCGTTGAGAGCGCCATCATCGCCAAAGCAGTCGCCGTACCCCGCGTTACCAAAGGCGTCGTGGTTGACCCGCGGCACAATCTCCACCACCACGCTCTGCAGCAGCGCAGACACAGCTGTGTCCTGCGTCGTTGTCAGCAGCTTCTGCGCAAACTGCAGCAGCATGTGCGTGCCGCCCGCCTCGTTTGCGTGCACGCCAGCAAACAGGCCGACCTTTGGGCGCTGTGTCATCGCCTCGTCGCTGTTGATGTTGTTGCCAATCGCAACGCCTTTGATGGCCGTGCCCTGCACCGTTGCGCCGGGAAGTTCAAACACACGCACGTTGTGCGGGGAAATGTCCACGAGATCGCGCAGCTGCGCATTGATGGTTTCCGTCGACAGGTCAATCACCCCCGCATCGTCATCATCACCACCATCGTCGTCAGTGCCACCGCTGGTGTCGTCGTCGTCACCTTCGGGGTGAAGCTGCACATTGACAAGCTGTGCCTGCGGCGGCTTGTTGTTTGCATTTGGCGGCACAGACACCTGCACGCGCTGGCCGCGGTACCCGTTTGCGGTGACCACCACCACATATGAGCCCGGGAGGAGGAGGCGCCAGTACACGCCATCTGCTGTCGTGACAACCGTGTTCTCGCGGTCAACAACTGTGACCGACGCGCCAGCAATGGGCAGGCCTGTCGCTGCGTCTGTGACAGCGCCCTTGATGCCCATGTGCACCTGGAGGGGATGGGTGGTTGGATGCCGAGACCGTGAGGGGGTTGGGCGGGCGTGGGCATGGTTATTGTTGTTGTTGTTGTTGTTGTTGTTGTTGTTGTTGTTGTTGTTGTTGTTGTTGTTGTTGTTGTTGTTGGGTTTGGAGACGTGGAGGGGGGGGGGGGGAGGGCGGAACAGAATCAAGAGGGAGCAGCACACACAAAAGGGGTGTTGGAATACAACAGCAGTGGTAGTTGCGGCGGCAGCAGCAGCAGCAGCAGCAGAATCGATTGGAAACCCCCGTCACAGCGACATGCAAGCTGGCACAGGCGAACAGGTCTCACTTCAACTCACCTGCTCGGTGTATGCCAGCAGTGCAGGCCGGTTGTTTTCCCACTCGCCCGGGAGTTTGTTGGGCGAGGGGAACTTGCAGCAGGAGAGCTCCACCGTGATCTCAAAGCAGTTTGAGTGCAGGTAGTTGAAGTCCTGCATTCCTCCAGTCAGGCTGTACCAGTCGGCACCGTTGGTGATGCCGTGGTCAAACCCGCTCTCGTCCCCGACGCCGCACGGCTTGTTCTGTGTGTGTGTGTGTGTTTGTATGTGTGTGTGTGTGTGTGTTCATGAGGTACATGGGCGAACACAGGCTTCTCAAGGACCACACACACACACACACACACACACACTCTCTCTCTCTCTCACACACACACACATATATACGGACCTTGAAGGTGTGCATGGTTCTGTGGTTGTCTGCGTATGTGCGCGCGAGGTGTTTGAAGATGTCATCGTCGGGTGCTCGGCTGTACACGCTGTGGCCCGTCTCGCTCGAGTCAAACGGGTAGCTGTGGTGGTGATGAGGGGGAAGAGGGGAGGGAAAGTGTGTGCGCGTGCGTGTGTGTGCGTGCGTGTGTGTGTGTGTGAGTAAGCGAGTGTGTATGTGTTGTTGCTGTTGCTGTCGTTTGTCAGAGTGCAAGCGTGTGAGAGTGTGTATCTCAGATCGTGGTTGTGCACATGAGGGTGAAATCACCGCATTGGACCAGACCTTGCAACGAGGGAGCCGCCGTGCAGGTTGGCAGAGAGCACAAAGGGGTTGGACTTGATCCAGTTCATCAGCAGCTGCGAGAGTGCGGGTGCGTTGGAACGTGAGTTTGAGAGGTGGAGATGACCAAGAGGGACATGTGCATGCAAGCACGGTGCATGAAGAGCTTGAAGAGCTGTCGAAGCAGCAAAGATTTGTGTCTACTGAATACCCCTACACACACAACAAACACAACCCACAACACACACACAGTCTCCCACCCACAACACACACACACACACACACACACACACACACACACACACACACACACACACACACACACACACACACACACACACAGTCTCCCACCCACCCACCCACAACACACAACGCCTGACCTTGGTCTCTGGCTGAATCTCGTTTCGGGGCTTTGGAAGGTATTGGTCGGGGAAGTTGCGGTTGAGGTCGACACCGTTGTGATTGGAGCGACCGTACACGCCCAAGCACTGCATGTTGCTCAGGCCCTTGGCAAAGCCATCTGGGTTCATGGACGGCATGATGTAGATGTCGGTCGCATCCACCAGCTGCGTCACTCTCCTGTCCGAGCCATAGTTGAACAGAAGGTACTGGATGAAGTAGATGAGGACTTGGCGCCCAACGGCTTCATTGCCGTGCATGTTGCCGATCCACTTCATCATGGGTCGTAGTTTGGCATCGTCCTCCGACAGAGCATCCGACTTGATTCTCATGAACCACAAGTCTTCGCCCTCGATGGACTGGCCAATGGTGTCCAGCGTGGCAAGATGCGGGTACTCGGAGGTGAGGTCTTGCAGCAACGCCTTCAGCTCAGCATTGGTCTGGTACTTGGATGTGTCAATTGCAGGGGCGCTTTCGGCGCCGTGCACGCCGTCCAGCAGCGCACACGCCACGACAACCGCAGCTACCGCCAGCAGCAGCAGCGCACCACGACGAAGCATCGGAGCAGCGCTCGCCATCTTCTTGGCTGTTGTCGTCATCAGTTTACTTTTTTTTTCGTTCCGCGTCAAATGATCTGATGCAAGATTATGGCCACAGGTGTGTTTTTTGTTTGTTTGTTTGGGTTTGGATTTGGGACCTTTATTGTTGTACCACACACACACACACACAGACACACACAGACGCACACACACAGACACAGACACACAGACATGCACAGGGTACAGGCATCACGCCTTGCTCTTCTTGGCGGGAGTCTTGTCAGCGAGAGCGTCGCTGGTGGTGGTTGTCGTGCCGTCACCGACGTCTTGCGTTGTCGTGGTCGTGGTTGTCGTAGGCGGTGGCGGGCTTGGCGAGTGCTTTCTCTTCTCAGCTGCAGCACTCGAGGCACCACGCTCCGCCTCATCGCCCTCATCACCATCACCAACACCATTGCCGTCGTTGTTGGCAGCGGTGCTTGTGTCTGCGACAATCTCGTATGGGGTGTCTGGGTCGTGCTCGTCGGCCTGCCGGAACACGAGCGACAACTTGAAGTTGGCCTGCATATCGTCCATCACCGAGCACGCCGTGCCGTCACGGATACCAAACGACGCCAACGTCCGCGGATACACCTGTGTAGGGAGAGCGCGCGTGCGTGCGTGTGTGTGTGTGTGTATGCGTGTGTGTTTGTGTGCGTGTGTTTGTGTGTGTGTGTGTGTTTGCAGGTGGAGTGGGTGTGAGGAGACGTTTGGGCGTGGGTCGGAGCGTTGCAAGACGCAGCAGCAACAACGGTAGCAACAAGAATAATAACAGCAGCAGTAGTAGCAGCAGCACCGTGAGCAGTTGTGCATACAGGCACCTTTGTCTTGAGGATGTGTTCCTCCTCCTCGTCCTCTGGCGCGGCGATCATCTCGGCACCGGACGCCAGGACCACCACGGGCGCAACGAGCGACAAGTCTTTCTTCAGCAGCTGCTCGGCGAGCGTCTCCACAGTCACGCGCGAGGGATCCAGCCGCACCGTCACCTGCGCCCGCTCTCCGCACACATAGCACTGGGGTGGCAGCGGTGACGTGTGTGTGTGTGTGTGTGTGTGTGTGTGTGTGTGTGTGTGTGTGTGTGTGTGTGTGTGTGTGTGTGTGTGTGTGTGTGTGGTTAATGGAAGCGTGTCACAATGAAAAATCAACCAATGATCACGTTGAGCACCAACAAATGCCAGCCTTCCATGAACACGAGGGGTGTATCCACACAAGCGAGATGCACCTTTGGGTTTGGAGCGCTGATGGGGACCGGGTTGACGACGCGCCGGCCAGCGCCCATCGCAGTCCGCGACAGATACACCTGAGGGGTGAGGTGGACGTGGAGGTGAGATGGACGTGGAGGTGGGAGTGGTGGAGGTGGAGATGGTACGTCGTGGCAGG